CACATATTTCTTTTATTTTTTATCTTTTGCAAAAAAAGAAACATCTTCAAAAGAATAAGGACATCCACCATGCAAAATGCAGGCGATGGTCAGAAGCATTCTGTGACTATCTCTGTGCCTTGTATGGCCAAATCCCATGCCTTTTAATAATCAGCAATGCCTATTATTTTGACTCCATAAGAGTTGGCATTGTAAACATGCATCCCTCTCTTTCATAAAGGGATGAATATTGAGATCATGTTGCAGTTTAGCAGGTATAGGCGCTTTCTGGTGAATTGTCAAGCTAATCTTTCCCTGCTGCAAAGGATGCCCTGTATCAACCAGCAGAAAGAGAAGTGCAACAGAGAGCATTACAGGAAAGACTGTTTGTTTCTGTAATTTCTTTGTTTCTTTCTTTCTTTTTAACTGACTGTGATGTGCCTAAAAAGGATGTGTGTGTGTCTCTCGCTTTGGCTTTCTGCGTTACATCTGCTTTAAATATTTGTGGCCCTTTCAGGTCTTTGTGGCACGGCATTTTTAATATATATTTTTTTATTTTTTTGATGCTGCCTTTTGTTGTATAAAGCCTGTGATATGGGAGGGATCTGCTGGTTCAAAAGCAACGGACTCGTGTACCATTCTTTCCCGTTTCATGTCGCAGATTTCGCTGGACGCTTTTGTTTAAAGCAGCCACCCGGCTCAGCTGCCCTTGTGTGTTGTACCAGACGATAAGGTTACAATAATCACCACTACAGAATAAGCAACAAAATCATTGCTGCACATACAAAATGTTGAGTGAATGTCTGTGCATCTACCTATGGACATCCAGCTGCCTACCTACAGATATAGATATTAAAAAGTCTGCATGATGTTATTACCTCCCCCTCCCCCATGCTTATGCTAGGTAAATAAGGCTGATTTTTTTGTGTTGGTGGGAGGGCTGATATTTACACACTGGTCATATTAATTACACTTAAGCTAATTTAAAGTTTTTGTTATTAATTCCCTTTCTACTGTTGCCGCCGTGAGGATTATCTTCCAACACCTACATATGCAATAGTCTTAATTACAGTCAAGATACATGCCTTTTTATAGTTGCAAGGGATGGAGGGGGGGGGAGGAAGAGAAGAGAAATGGACTTGCCTTGAGGACCTAGTTTATTCTTCCCGTTTCTTGTGTTGACTCCAAATAAACATTAGCCATTAGAGGGTAGATTAAAAGACGTCACCCTTATTTGGAAAGTCAAGACAGGCTCTAGCGCTTTGGGACTGCTGAGATTTGGGTGAGTATGTGATTTCTCAGTGGTTGAAAGAAGGCTGGATTGGGTATTGACAGGCCGCTTATCAATAGGGAGACCCAGGAGGCCTTGATATTTGCATGCAAGCTGATTGATTGACTTGCCCTTAATAGACACATAATTGTTGACAAATACCTTCCAATAGACTGTGGCAGGCATAGAAGGCAAACAAAGGGAGGCTTCGCTAGGGCAGAGATGGGAATGGTTCGAAAGATGTGGGGAGAAGCCCACACCTTGCCATGTTGGCCCCACAGCAGCCATTTAGCCCAGACCGCCACCCCACACTCCAGCCTGCCTGAAATGCTGGATTATTGTGACCTTATAGATAAAAGGTTTGTTTTTGGTTGTTGTTGCCATTATTACTTATATTATGTTTACAGTCCTCATTGGTTATGTATATTTTTTATACGCAGCCCCTATCGCATGATGCTTAGTTTAAGATTTGATGTAGGATAAGCAACAGAATAGGAGAAGGGAGAAAGCAGTTGCATGTTGGTTAAAAATGTACAACTGGGCTCACCCCCAGGTTTGGGGAGAGTTAAGGGTGATGGTTGGTATTTAAGGGCACACCTGTTGGATTTGAAGACTGAAAAAAATTGCTGGTTTCTAGAAGATAGAATGGTTGGATCTTAAAGAATAAATAGCATATGTAGCTGCAGAGAGCTGGAAGTCCTTTTATTTTGCTCTATCTTTCTTTAGTTTTCCTTTTCCTTTTCTCTTGCTTTCTCCTTCTTTAGATTTCTCCTTTCCTTATATTTTCTTCCTTCTGACTTTGCTCCTTTTTAAGTAGCTGGTTTATCTCAGTATATTACAAAAAGATATTTTGTGATTGGTATGTATTTCTGTATATCTTTGAATAAGTATCCATTTTAAAAAGTAGGGGAGGGAGGAAGGACACAACTGTTCAAACCACAAGTTCTCACTATTCAGATAGACAGCTCTTGGCTTTAGAAGCTCTTGTGCAAAACAACAATGATGAAAACCCTGATGACTACCGCAGTCCAAACAACAGCTGTTGGCAATGGTTGCATGTCTCCGGGCTTCTGGACCTATCAGTATTCAGTGGCAGAACGTGTGTTGCTGTGTTAAGCTGCAGGCAATAGTGCCACTCAACCTGGCTCGCTACCCTCTCCAAACCTCAAAAGAAGCTGATACCTTAATAAAACTCTCTTGCAAATATTCTGCATTGAAAAGAAAGTGCAGATGAAGGAATGGGAACAATCCCAAAACAAAGACTAAAACATTAGACTCATTAAGCAAGCTCCCTCTTGCTCTCTCTCCTGTCAAGAGCCAGTGCGGTGTAGTGGCATGCAAAACATTTGAATTTTGACTCTTGGTCTTCCCTGATCTTAGGACATCACATTGTCTGTCCTTGGTACACGTTGACTCTCAGGGCACGCAACAAAGGGCTAAGATGCAGCCGCCTTGCTAAAGCCAAGTAGGTCTGAGTCTAGAACAGGCATAGGCAAACTCGGCCCTCCAGATGTTTTGAGACTACAATTCCCATCATTCCTGATCACTGGTCCTGTTAGCTAGGGATGATGGGAGTTGTAGTCCCAAAACATCTGGAGGGCTGAGTTTGCCTATGCCCGGTCTAAAAGGTACCTAGGTGGGAGACCCTGTGTGTAACACAGTTAAACACTGCAACTGGCTCCCCAAGGAGGCAGTGATGGCCACCAACTTGGATGGCATTAAAAATCAAATTCATGGAGGAAAGGTCTATCAAGGCCCATGATGGCTGTGCTTTGTGTATATGCCTGTGTCTAGGTGTAAGGGTCAAAATATGGATTGCTACAGTTGGACAGTCCCTTCCTCTGCACAGAGTCAACAGACACATACCCCGCCAACATTTCTCTGATGAAAATAGGGACACCCTATTTTTTTAAAAAAAATAATATTTATTCCAAATTTAAAATCACAGAAACAAAGAAAAACCATACAGAGTAACAGAGCAAAAAATAAACAAGTAAAAAGAACAATGAGATAGAATAAAAAAGAAAACTTGACAAAAAATATAAAAATGTATTAAGTTAATAATAGAACAAAAACAGATTAAACCTTTACATATCCTTTTCCCTTTACTTATTTCCATATGGAAATATGAAAATAGGGACACCCTATTCTACACCAGGAAGCTGTCCCCACATTTGATCTTGCTGCACACATAGACGTCGTATACACATATTCTTCAGTCACCTTGAGCCTATTGCAACCTCTCCGCTGAACCTACCTTGCAGGATTGTTGTAAAGAAAAAAATGTGTGAGGGAAGGGATTGTGTGCAACACCTTCCGCAGAGAAATGGAATGGAATAAACTTTTAGCAGTAAGCTGCCTTGAGTCCCTGTCAGGCAAAAAGGCGAGATGTAACAACAACAGAAACTGTGATAATGATCAGGAACATACCAGAGAGTAAACCCTATTGAACTCAGTGGGACTTAGTTCTGAGTAAAAATGCTTTGGACCGCAGTGTAAGGCTGCACAGTCTTTACCCAGTTACCTGGGAGTCAGCTCCATTAAATACAGTGGGACTTCCTCCTGAGTAGACAGTGTAAGGCTCCATCTACAATAAAGGAATAAAGACTCCACGCATTTCCTAAGAAATGGCTGGCTGATAAAGCATTGGAATTAAAGAATTTAAAGCGGATTGGTGACCTTTTCCTTCAAAATTATAGGAAGGGCTTCGTATGCCAGGTTCACAATTTCCTTCATTTGGTGCAGGGATTTTATTTTCTGTATTTAAAGGACTCCATTTCCGCATGCACGCACACACAACTTTTAATTGTTCTCTGAGACTGGGAGAGGAGGAGAAAGGAAAACAGGGACATCCCGGGATCAAATCAGAAACCGGGACAGCTTCTGTAATTCCGGGACTGTCCCTGGAAAATCTGAGCACTTGGGGAGCATGCAGACACTGCCTGCCCTATGGAAAGGAAATCTTCTGCTTGTTCCTGCTTCAGTCATCTTGTGATTAGCTGTGTTCTATACATGTCATTATCTGTGCCTAGAACTCCGGTGGAAAAGAGGGCTACAAATCTAGAGAAATTAATACACTAGTCATGGCAATGAAGTTTCCATGATAAGAGTGAACAGGTAGAGACTTGGCTTATAGGCCAGCAGGTGGGCTTGTTCTGTGCAAATGTGAAATTGCATAATTCTTACCAGATTTTTTTTTAAAGGGCGGGGAGGGAGACATGCACACATGGAGCGAGGAAAGATCTACAAGGCCGGTGGAAAGCAAAACACACCGGTGAATCTCTGAGGAGAGTCCAGGTGCCTCAGGCAAAGCCAGACGTGTGCAGACACAGATATGAGCACAGATTACGGAGCAAAGCGCCAGGTACAAATGAACTTGAAGCAATGCCACCACATCAAAGGGAAGCATTGTTAACAACACAGAATTCTTCCTCAAGGGATCAAGGGTGGATTTTGCTCTCACTCTGGTGCATTTCATCTCTCTATCAGTCCTGTAAAATAGATCAGGCTGGGAAGCCAAGCCAAGAAGAAAAAAAAAAGACTCCTGCAAGCTGCATTTATATTAATACAAATAGAAGTTATTTTGGGTTGTATCCAACTAGTTCTTTCTCAGAGTGTTGCTGTTGCTGCTGCTACATTTATAACCCACCTTTCCTCCACAGAGGTCAAGGTAGCTCTCCAATATTTCATTATCCTCACAACAACCCTGTGAGGTAGATAAGGCTGAGGGTGGCCACCCAGCAATTCATCATGGCTAAGTGGGGGTTTGAACCCTTGTCTTCCAAATCCTAGTCCAACACGCTAACCACTATGCCACATTGCCACCCCAACTTAGGTCCATCAATTTCATTGGGTCTGCGCTCTGAGTAGGGCTAACACTGAATGCAACCCTTCGTTTCAGCGGTCTCTTTATTGCTCTCAATGTTTTCTACTTCTGTTGACACTGCATTGGCACTTATCTCTTGAGGTTGTTGGATTTTGTATTTTAAGGACCTGCAAGGTCTGTAAACTACCCAGAGGTCTCGGTTGATATGCAGAATACATATGTTATGAATAAAGAAATAAGTTCTATGGCCCATAGCGGAGGCTTAGGAACTATGTAGAGCCCCAAAGTATTGCATTACAACCGTCGACCACCGCGTTCTCAAAAGCCTTGCCCATAAATTGCAAGCTGATGTGCTCACTCTCAGGCTATCTATTCACTTATTTCATTCCTTTAACAGGCTTTATATGCCACTTAATCATCCAGAACCTCCAAGTGGCTTACACAGAATTTGCAAAGTTCATTAAAAAGAATACACTGATAAAATTGTACATTAAAAGCAAGTTAAACAGCAGTTTATCAAAATAAAAGTAAAACCAGCAGTTCTAAAAATATACATAAAAAAATAAAATTACATGTCTGAGTAGGGTTGCCTATACTATGTAAACACACACACACAAAAACCTACATGCCTTCCACCGCCCTTAGAAAACCCTTTAATCCCAATTTTATTTTACTTTACACTTTGGTAGATTTACAAAAGGAGAAACACAAACCAATAAATTAATTTTAGAAAGGGGCAAGATCAGACGCAAGATGCACAAAACTTTTTTTTTAATTAAAAAAAATCAAGACTCTTTGTGCTCCGCACTGCTCCCCCTTTCTTCCCGCCCAGGGTGGCCCTGCCCTCTGCCTGACCCTCATAGCAGGCCTGTCACATGGGGCGGGGCCTTGTCAGTGGTGGCCTCTCCTCCTCCCTGCCTGCTCTCCAGTAGCCGCTATGAGCTGGCAGTGGCAGCCACGGAGGAGCCACAGGATTTCCCCTTGAAGCCGCTACTGCTGCTGCCACTACTCAGGAAAAGCATCAGCTCATCCTCCTCCCTCAGCTTGGCGGATGTGCTGGTTGGGGGAAACAGGGACATTCTGGGATCAAATCAGAAGCCGGGATGGTTTTCGTAATTCCGGGACTGTCCCTGGGAAATAGGGACACTTGGAGGGTTGGTTCACATATGAAGCTCCTTCTTCTTTTATTTCAGTTGGTATACACCAGGGATGTCCAACAGGTCGATCGCGATCTACTGGTAGATCCCCATGAGGTTTTGGTATATTGTGGGTCGATCTCTGGCTCCCTTTCCTCAATGTCGTCGAAACTGACTCCTGTCCCGCCCCCTCGCCCTGCCCTCCATTGTTGCCTGATCAGTGGAAGGGAAGATGGAGCTTTCTCTCTGTGGCTGTTTTCATTCAAAGCGATATTCTTGTGAGTGACTTTTTCCCTTTGACCCTTGCCTTTAACTCCCCCCAAAATGGAACTTCCCTCCCAAGAAAGTATTTGTACAAAAGTGGGTCTTTCTTCCTCCCTAAAAGAAGCTGAGCAACTCTGACCTGAACCCCCCCAAAATGGGGGTAGATCATTGCCAGATTTTAATTCTGAAAGTAGATCGCAGTCTCTTGGGAGTTGGGCACCTTCTTTTATCCACAAGGCCTTCCACCTATTCTGGAAAGCAACGGGGGTTTCCCTGAGCCCAGCTGCTCCATAAGATCGCGTACAACTCCAGAATAAGGATGTAATCAGCCTTAATCACACTCACTCTCAGATAATGCCCCTGTGCCTTCTTTGCCATCTCTCATCTTATCATAGAATCATAGAATTGTAGACCTGGAAGGGACCCCAAAGATCAATGCAGAAATATGCAGCTGTCCCATACGGGGATTGAACCTGCAGCCTTGGCATTATATCAGCACCATGCTCTAAACAGTTGAGCTATCAGTAGGGGGAAGGGTCTGTTTTACACGCAGAAGGGCTCAGGTTTAATCCCCAGCCTGTCCAAGCAGGGTTGGGACAGACCCCGACCGAAATCCCGAAGAGCTGCTGCCGGTCCATGCAGGCAATACTGGGCTAGACGGAGCATTGCTCCAACTCAGTATAAGACAGCTTCCTGTATCTTTTGCTCACATATCCAAATCCGGCCACCAGAACAAACACAACACAATGCAGAATTGCATTTTTCCCCGGCGTGAAAGTGGGGTAGGCGTCTTCCTGACGATAGAAAAAAAAGGGGGTAATTGGCGTGCGGGTGGGGTGCACGTTTCAACAGTGCTTGTTACAGTCAACAATATTCAAATGGCACAGAGATATTTCCTTGAAATAAAGGACAATTTGCGTCTATTTGTTTAAGTCTCCTCGTCCCCATCCCTAAGCATTCCTAAGCATGAAGCAGCCGACAGCCAGCTGCCTCAAACCAGTGTGTGTGTGTCCATTAATTCAGAATTACTCCAATTACGAGCTTTTGATGCTCTGAAAACCTCTCTCTAACCCAAAAGAGATGGAGAGCCCTCAGCCCGTCCAATCAGATCGCTTTCCCTGCTCCTGCCAGCAGATGTAAGCAATTTGCTTTTTTTTATTTCTGCATATTCAGCGCGAGCGAGGCTGTTGGCGACCTTTCGTCCCAGAGCCTGCAGGATTCTAACCCTATCAAATTAAACCATTTTGCTCATTTATTCCCAAACGCTTGGCCGGTGCTAAGCAGGGCCTCCCGCTGCATAGCAATGGCGGGCGATCGTGTCCGCTCATACCCTGAACCTAATCAGAGATTATTAAGGAAAATATACAGTGCGTTAATTTGATGAGATTGGTTATAGGTACCACAGTTAAAGGTCAGCCTCTTACGTGTATCTCCCTCGGTCACCACAATATTTCCCCCTCGCTCGACAGCCCTCCGCTTCCAAACAATAGGCCAAGGAGACACGTTTATTTTCGTCACGCTGGGGACAAGCTCAACAGGGATAAAGAAAGGAATTATTTAAAGTTCGCATAAAGAAACCAGCCCCATGCATGGCAACCGCCTACACACTTACCTTCTGCTAAGCCCACCACTACCACGGCCTGCAATTCTCTTATCTCTGCATTTATTGATTGTGTTTTGGTCCTGGCCTTAAAAGAACATTGGAAGGAAAGGAGAGAGAGAGAGAGCACGTTGAGATTTTCTTCCGAATGCTAGGCCCGTTTATTGTGGTACTTGCTAGCAAAGCCTAGTAAAATACCCTGGTAAAATCAGACGTCACCCACTTCTCAGTCACCAAGTTTCCTTGTTAGGGGGTTGGTGATGCTTTTGCAGGAGCCTACGGTTAATATCTACAACATTCACCTTTCTGCAATTCATTTCCTCTTGCTGGGGCAGACTTTGGTAATATGGTCTCCGAGAGAGGAAAAAAATGGGTGCCCCCCAACTATTTCTTATTTTTGCTATAATTCCTTTTGGTACAGTTGCTTTTTAATGGATCTTCTCAATAGGCTTGTTGAAACGACACATTATTTCAAAAACAGTAATAATAATAATAATAATAATAATAATAATAATAATTTTGCACCCCCTGCACTGCCCTAAATCTCGTACTACCCTTTGGTTCCTACTGTGTTTTCTCACAGAAGAAGCTGCCTTCTAACAGGTGAGATGATTGGTCTACTCTAGGGGTAACCAATGTGGTGCCTTCTAGCAGTTGTTGGACTACAACTCCCATCAAGCTTAAAATGGCCATGCTGGCTGGGGCTGATGAAAGTTGTAGCCCAGGGGATGTGAGACTTCATTTCTGAGGCCCGAATGTATCAAGCCTCCCTTCCTGGCCTTGGGTCCAAGCCACACCCCCTCCTCAGCCACACCTCCTGTCTCCAAGCCACACCTCTTACTGGTCTTGCCTCACACCTCCCTTGAGTGCTTTTGCCTGGTGAGAATGGGTCCTTGAGCAGTGATGACTCTTTATTGTATGAATGGAGGACAGAGGGTGTGTTTGTGACCTCATCTGCATTAAACATTTAAAGCAGTTCCATACCACTTTAAACAGACGTGGCTTCCTCCCAAAGGCTTCTGGGAAGTGTACTTTGTTAAAGGCACGGAGAGTGATTGCAGGACTCCCTCTTCCCCTCACAGAGATACAATTCCAGATCTCCCTGGGAAGATGGATTGATTGTTACACCACTCTTAGAACTGTAGCTCAAGGAAAGGGATAGGAGTCTGTTAACACTCTACAGAACCCTTAACAGACTACAGTTCCCAGATTCATTGGGGGAAGCAATGACTATTTGAAGTGGTTTGAAGCTGCTTTAAATGTACAGTGCAGATGGAGCCTGTAACTAGCTTACTGTATGAAGGTATTTTTTATATGTAATAATGCCCAGTGATATCTCAGAAGCCATGTTTGAGGATTCTAGGTAGGAGCTGAGGGCGGAGGGACAGGTTGAAATGCCCTGCCCATTTTCTTTGCCACATCTTGCGACTAAAGGAAACCAAAGAAATTATGCAGAATAAAGATTTTATTTTATTTTAAAAAAACAGCTTTCCTTGGGGCAGTGTTTGGATGGGGGAAGAAATTCGATTCAGTTTGCATTTAAAGATGAGCCTACCCAGTTTGGAGTTTCCAAAACAAATTCATGAACAGCCGCTCTGTGAAGTTTGCACTTCTCTGAATTTTGCAAAGCTATCCAAGCTGTAAGCTAAGTAATGCTTACAGAAATGCGCATAAAAACCTATATCTTAGTGAAAATGACACACATATATGCACTTTGTTAGGGACATTTGCTTTGCAAAAATGTGTATATTGTGCAACATTGCATAATAAAAATGTGTATATGAAGAGAAATTCACACTAAAATGCTCATGAATTTTCATGAGGACTTAAAGTTTATATTGCAAGATATGAAGTACTGAATTTAAGACTGGAAAATAAGAAAACAAAATTAACACATTCTTCTCCCCCTAGCACAATGACTTTTTTTTTAATGTGAATATGCAGTGCTTTTTTCTGGGGATACGCAGGGGTACGCATACCCCTAAACATTTTGTGAATCTTTGTACTTTTGGCCATTTACTGTATTTATTTCCCCTGATTTGAACTATAAAATGGCCATTTTCTTGAGTCAAAATGAGAGTACCCCAAACATTTTTTAAAGAAAAAAAGCACTGTTGTGTGTGTGTGTGTGTGTGTGTGTGTGAGAGAGAGAGAGAGAGAGAGAGAAATAGTATGGTGTGTTTAAACTGATGTGAATGACAACTCCGACCCAGGAAGAGTGGCAGATAAAACAGATGAACTATGCCAAGATGGCAAAACTTACAGGAAGAATTAGAAACCAGGAAGAGATGGACTTTAATAAAGAATGGGGAAAACTATTGTAAACAACTACATACATTGATAGGATTGACAGAAAACTTGTAGTAAAAATTTGAACTATGGAATGATAAAGGATTTATAAGAATAGAGTTATGAAAGAGATGCAGAGGGGGAAATTATTATATTAAAATCCTCAGTGGGGGGAGGCAAAGGAGATTTTATGTTTATGTTTTTATTTCGCTTGTACATGTAAAATAGAAAATGCAAAAACAAAATGGAAAAATAAAAAAATAAACTGACGTGAAGGAGGTGTCCAGCTTGTCACTGACAAGAATAGAAAGGGTTACCATCTCTACTTCTCCTAACCTAAGTCAACAGATTTTACTTGGAAAACCTCCCCCTTCTACAGCCTTTTCGTACAGGAAATGAAGTGCAGGAAATGCAATATGGAGACATGACTTACCCGCAACGGCGTGTCACCATTTTTATTATCAGGGGTGTAATCACCCTTCGGGGAGGAATCATTATTCCTGCTAGGTACAAGAGCACACCAGGCCACCAGATTGTGTGTAGAAAATAGTGAGGGATAATTCCACCCCTTCATCATTCAGGACTTTACTTTGTCAATAAGAGGGAGAAGGGATTATATCTTCTTTTTTTAAAAAATGGTGACCGTTGAAGAGATTTATCTTTTTAAAGAAAAGAAAAGAGACATCCTTTTTTATTATTATTATCCCTCCAGCTGGTGGGAATGAGAGCAATTTTGATTTCAAAATGCCAGCTCTGTGGCAAATGCCTTCAGTAGCTCTGGCCTGCTGGGCCTTTTCCACACAGGCGTAGTTCCAACGCAAAGGCCTCCTTTCTTCGTTCCTCGCTGGCTCCTCCGGCACTTTCTCTCATTCTTCTTTTCATGAGCATGCCCTTGCCGTCGCCTTTTGGCCATCAAAACAACAACCTGTTCATTCAAGAGGAAAGGTAGCTCTGGACTTTGTTGCCACAGCTACTCTGCCATGTCACAGCAAAAGGCCTCGTTTCTCCTTAATTGAGGCCTTGAACCATTACTATTACCACTACTATTATTTTTACAGTAGGTCCATTATGCCAATTTGTCCTCACTTCCCCCCAGAAGCTAGCAAACTCTCCAACATCATCTTGGCTACAGGGGCACCAATCATAGGGGGCAGAAGGGGCTCCAGCTCCCTCAATATTTCTGGGCAGGCAGGGGTCAATCCCCCCGCATAATATTGAGGCGGCCGCCATACCCTGCTGCCCCCGGGTGAGTGCTGGCGTGCTGGGTCAGAGCAGGATGCACAGAGGGTGATTTTCACCCTCCGCTCTCACCACCACCACCAGGAGTTTCCATGATAATTTTTTTAATGAAGCAAATAGCTGTGGAAAAGTGGAGAACCGAATTTAAGATTGGGAAAATGAGAAACAGAGAGAACTCAACTTGATAGATTTGTCCTTCCGTAGTAGGAGGAAAGTTCTGGAACTTCTACCTCTTCAGCTATCTAGGACCCTATAAGGAGGGGAGCCCAATGCTCAGGATGAGAGCCACCGCTTTAGGAGAAAGGCGAAGAACAGGAAATCAACCTAGGGCCATTGCTACTGCCAAGATGAAGGAAAAGACATGCTCAAAGGGTTCATACAAGCGCATTCAGCGT